AGGTGTATACCCTAAAGGACTTTGATATTTTAGTGGTGGCATTAGGCCTGAATAACATTAAATAAACATTTTGTTTCCTTTTCACAAATCTCTGGCATTAAGAGATGTCTTTCCAATTGGCGGCGGACAGAAGGGCCCAGTAGATTTTAGTATTTTGTTTTTGGGAGGGGCCCCTGTTGTATAGCAGTTTTGGGCATCCCTAGGTGGGCCAAATATTGTATTGCCCCTCCCTCGGACCTCTTGTTGTTCGGTAACAGGCTCACTCAGCAAAGCTGCAGCAGGCAGCTGAACGGCTCCCATCTGTTCACGGCTCCTCCCTGCACCCCTTGGGTACTGGCTGGTTCTTCTCATCTGGCTCAGTCTGTGTCCTGAATTGCACTCCTCTTGTCGTCTTGCTGGTTGGGTTTCACACTCCAACTGTATTCTGCCTTTTTGGATATGGGGCTTATAACCAGAATGCCTTGGCTGCTTCCTAAAAAACTCTCATCTTCCAACTTTAGGATGTGATCTGCCTTGCTACAAAGTTGGGGGCCTTGAGGGCCAACACATTTTGTCATCTTTGTTGGCAGTCCTGCTCTGATCCTGCCCCAGTCACTGGAAATGTCCTTTTACATTGTTCTTCAGGCCAAGTTCCCACTCGTACCCAGTCTCACTGATGAGACCTCTGTTTTGTCGCTGGGCTTTCATTTTTGCTACGACAGTGCACCTGTTAATCCAGGTCTCCCAGCCTGCCTCCCTGCTTTGTCTTTGGAATACTTTTCTAGATTCTTAAACTCCCCCTTGGTATTTGAAGATTTGCTACCAATAGCCCCTCTTCCCTGGCTCTGCCTGATTTCCCCCTCCAACCTGCCATTATTGCCTTCTCCAGATCACATGTGGTGGGCAAAATAATACTATTTTCCCCCAAGATGCCCATGTCCTAATCCCCGAAACCTGTACACATGTCAGGCTACATGGAAAAGGGGAATGATAGTTACAGGTGGAATTGAGGTTGCTTGTCAGTGTTGGGGAGAGGATGGGGGTTATCTGGGAAATCAGGATGATGTCATCTTGAGGTCTTTAATTTAACTACTTCTGTCAAGACCTTATTCCAAATAATGTTACCTTCTGATGTTCTAGATGGACATATATTTGGGGTTATACCATTCAACCATTGCATTATCTGAACAAAATAGAGAATACCAATGAGGAAGGAGTCCAGGAGGATGTGACAAGCTTAATTAGCAAATGCAGCAGTGTCTGTGGAATATCCAGATGGAGAGTGCAAACGGTCTATGAGTTGGGAGCTCAGAGAAGGGGATTTGGGTATCATTGACCATGTTTGGTAGCTGAGGGTAGGTACGATCGTTCAAGGACAGCATGTATAACAAGAAAAGTGGTGGGCTGATAGTGGACCCTCAAGGAATGTCAACAATTAAGGAGATAATAGAGGAGTCTGGGTCCACTAAGCATACCAAGAAGGGGTGGGAGGAAAACCATGAACCAGTGCTGTTACTGGGACAAGGGGATAGAGCATTTCAAGGAGAGTCTCCAAAGTCAAGGATAGCAGTGAAACTGTTCTAAGGTACGTGTGGACTTGGATTAAAGAGCCTGTCCTTTTTGTCCTGTTTTGCCTGGTGAGGCAGCTTGTTTGTTTCTGTAGTGACAATTATTAGTAATGGGTAACACAATGGACAACGACTTGGCTGTGAGTAGGCTGCCCTGAATTCTGGTTGTAGCATTTGAATTTCAAGATAATTACTTTAAATGGGTAGGGCAATACCCTGAACAGATCTAATTTCCCCTTACAAACTTCTGTCTGCTCTAATGCTCTTAATTATCATAATTATAAGGTTGTTTGAGGGTAAAAAGTGACAGGAAACAAAATTGTAGGAAATTAGTTACAACAATATGCAGTTTAGGGCAGAAAAGTGGGGGCACGATTTTATGTCATTGTCTGAGACAAATTACTGGGCTGCACGGATTATTGATCTGCAATGATATTTCTCACGAAGATTCAAGGCAGTGGTCTTGCACGCTCTGGGTCGATTGGTCATGGTTTGTTCCTTCAGTCCCAAATTAATTGGCAGAGTCTCAAGTGTTTTGTACATTCAGCTCTCTTTGAATTAAGTTTCCATAATCCTTAAATTCATGGTACTTTCTCCTTCCCACTTAGGAAAGAACCAGAAATCTTGTTAATTCTGAAAGGTGGCTCTATCTATCGAAGGCTGTCTGCAGCCTTTTTTGTTGGCTTTAGGTCTGAGTTTGATGCACCCAGAACTTAATTAAAACTCAGTGTATTTGTTGGGATAGGCTGGGTTTTGCTGCAGTAAGAAATAACCTTCGCATCTAAGTGACTTAACTGCAGACTTATTCTCTCTTACTCATACTTCATATCCAACATGGTAAGTAGATGCTGCACCCACACAGTCATCAGGGGTGCAGGATGATATAGGCTACACCATCTTTTGGTGATGCCACATGGCCTTATAGGTGGTCAGCAGGGGAAGAGAGGCTGAGGCTCTTTGCTACCTTAGTCAACTCATTGGCCAGAAGCTAGTCTCATGGTTCTTTGGCCCTCAAATGCAAGGGCCTGAGATGTGCAGTCTTCCATTGGCCAGAGTGGGAGGAGAATGGGATATTGTGATGGTTAGTAATGTCCACCAGGGACTGGTGTAGAGAGAGTATCAGTGATCCTTACATTTCGGCACTGTTTAGTGTTTAAGGAACCCTCCCTCCTCACTGCAGTTCTGACTAGTTTTCCACAGTATCACTGGTTTGCCAGAGAACCCTGCCCAGGGAACTACCCAGTTTTGGATATGTATTTGCCAGACATGTTTGGAGTACCAAATGAGCCCATGGTACCTTGTCTGGAAACTTCCCTCCACAGAAACTTCCCTCCACCTGTGCCTAGGTGGTCTTTAAAAAATTTTTTAATTCAGTGACCCAATACCCCAATCACATGCTCTTTGTCATAATTATAACTGGATGACACAGAGGCTGTCATTAGCTGTGGGTCTGGGCACCTGCTAGGCAGATCCAAGTTTCCGATTCTCAGTACCACACACCAGAAAGCCTAAGTGCTTTTATGAGACAGAGTCCCCTGTCAGTCCCACTCCCTGGACTCATGTCCTTGTAGGAGAACCGGCCCACATGAAGTTTTCCAGAACAAAGCTTGGAACCCAATTCTCCATACTCCCTCTTTGGTTGTCTCTCAGTATTTTTCTTATTATTATTCTAATTATTATTCTGTTAACTTTCCAATTAATGGAAAAGATGATTTTTTTCCCACAGAACATTTTTTTTTGGTAAGGGAAAAATTTGGTTAGTGAGAACTATGATTGTGCAAAATGACTTGATATTCAAGAAGGGCCCCAGAGGTGACCCCACCCACACCGCTCACAGGGTTTGCACCAAACCTCTGCAGTGATCTGTATGACTGTGAGTATGGTGTGTGACAGCCGCAGGGTTTCAGCTTTCCAAAGTGTGAAATTTGGGGGTTGGTCTTGATTACCTAAGAAGTGTCCAAACCTCTTATTTCCAAGTTTCTGTGATTCTTTACAATGTGGGAAAGAGAAAGAGAGGTTGGGGAGTTTGCCCCAGACTTACAAGCTACTAAAAAAGTAGGCCCCCACCTCAGAATTGTAAATTCAGTGTGCTTGCAACATTCTAAGGGGTTAACTAGTTTAACTTTTAAAGACTTGACTTCTAACTGAGGCGTTAATTTCATTGTTATTCAAAACACAACTCAAATCAATATTTGTCAGGTATAAAGGGCAACATGAGAAAAATAATTTTCCAAAAGGTCCCTGGACTCTCAGTACAAGTCCTGATGAAGGCTATATTTAGAATACTCATGGGCTCCATTTGCTACGATGGCATCTCTCTCTCTCTCTCTCTCTCTCTCATATGGTGACCTTTATATTTATAATAGATATGTTTCCAATATTTTTATCTTAGTAGCACAACAATATGAACTCACTCATTTTTTTCCCAGACAAGATGCCAAGATTTTATCATGGGGAGTAAGTGCCCAGCTCATCTGAATTATCTGGGGGAGTCTGAGGGAAACAGTTGGTGGGCAAGGTTGGGGGAAGGTTGGAGATTGTTGGCCGGGGCAGTTGGGACTGGGACTGCATTAGAGAAGGGCACTGGGAGTATGAGTTTGATTTGGATTTCTCTGTACAGAAGGCCGTAATAATTCAGACTGTGACTGGGTGGTGAGAGGAATATATACTGCAATTTTATTTGAGTTGGCTCTTGAGAGCACAGACTCAAAGGGTAACTAAGATTTTAGCGGTGATATTTAACCCATGCTTAGGGAGACCCTACTTGAACCCCTTTCCAGCAATTTTCCTCCCCACCAAGGGGGGAGTATGTGGGCAAAAAAGCAGTGACCACCTTTAGCCCTTAGCTTACTTTGTAGACCTTGTACTGGGTATCAAGGCCCTAGAATTCCTTGTCCAAACAGCCCTGATCCAGCTTTCCAGGCCTGTACTGGTGTCTGTCTTCCTTAGGTTTGTCCCTTGGAGAGTGACCCACCCCACTGGGGCATTTGTCACCAGGCCCCATGGTGGCTGAGGTTTTTCTGGTTAAAAGAATAAGGTGTAGTTGGAGCGTAGATGTGAGAGCGGGGATATCCAAACATATACATGAGCAACTTTGAGAAATTAAAGAAATTTTAAAGTTCAAGTTGGCCTTTCAGGTTATTTGAAGGTGAAATTGAGATGGTAGTAGAATAGAAAATAATTTATTAAAAATTTGTTGGTTTGATGAATAACTTGTATCTATTTAGACACAAAGCTCTCGAGCCTCCACTGTACTCTTGTCTTGGGCCCTGAGAATGATGGGGGTGGGCCTCTGATTCAAAATGCTTAAAGAGGTAAAGGCGCTTCAGATGACCTCTTACACTCTTTAAGTACTTCTTTGCATGTAAATAGTTGATGCATTTATCACATGTATTGTCAGCTAGTGACTAAATTTGATTCTTAAAGTCCTCTCTATCAATGTATGTTTTTCAGCCTATACGAGGTCTGTCCAGAAAGAATCCAGCCATCTACTATGGAAAATAGAGACATTTATTGAAGCTCCAAGATACAAGGCACATTGTACACAGGACAATGACACCTCAGTCCCCTTCAAACTAGGCACCTTGGGACTTCACACAGTTCTCCCAATCACTACCAGCTGCCATGGTATCTTCCTGAATCTCATAGACAGTCTGAAATCTCTTCCCTTTCAAAGGTGATTTTGGTTTTGGGAAAAGTCAGAAGTCATAGGGTAGCAAATCTGGGGTCTAGGGAGGCTGAGTCACCTGGCTGATTTGATGTTTTGCCAAAAAATTGCATGAGACATGACACATGAGCAGGTGCATTGTGGTGAGGAAGCTGCCAATGACCAGCTGCCCGTAGCTATGGTCTCCTGAATCATCTGAATAGTTTCCATGGAGGAATGTTCCGGCTTCATGCAAAACTTAATGCAGGTTTGTTGCTCTGCTCACTTAGTCATTTTGAATGCAATGGTCATGCAGTGTACTTGCTCACTCAATAGCATCTACCACCTCACTGAATAGTACAGTGAGGTCATCATTGTTCACACATGAGCATTCCAGTGCACTCTCCTTGGCTGCCAGGTTACATCAATGTCATGCAAACCATTCTCGTGATATTAACAATGTTTGGACTTTTTCCTGGTAGTTTCTTCTTAAAATTTATTGGGGTGACATTGGTTAATAAGATTATATAAGTTTCAAGTGTATAATTCTATAATTCATCATATGTATATTACATTGTATGCACACTAATTAAAGTTCAATTATCTTCTGCACCATATATTTGACCCCCTTTACCCTTTACTACCCCTTTACCCCCTTCCCTCTGGTAACCACCATGTTGTTGTCTGTGTCTATGAGTTTTTGTTTGTTTTTCTTGTTTGTTTACTTGTTGCTTTCAGTTTTATAGCCCACATGTCAGTGAAATCATATGGTTCTTAAATTTTCTGTCTGGCTTATTTTGCTGAACATGATATATCAGCTTGAATAGTTTCTATCTAAACTTGAAAATGGAATAGCTCCAAATAAAACAGTCTAGATCCTCTTTGGCAGCCTGTGTTCTCACCCTGTCCTGTTGGCAGGATGTTTTAGAAACTAAGACTTTGTGCACCAGGCTGACTCCTCTCTCAACTCCCCATTCCTTCTTCTCCCCACCTCCCCAAGCATCAGCTTCACTATCATGTCTGAGTCCTGAGAATTCTCCCAAAATTTCATGGTAGGAGAAGGGCAATAAAGATAACAGCTGACACTGATGATGGGCCAAAGTTATAGAATTTGTGGGGCCCAAATCAAAATGAAAATCCTGCACCCCTTGTTTAAAAATGACTAGGAATTTCAGGTAATGACCACAGTGCATTAAACCAAGCATGGGGCCTTCTAAGCATGGGGCCTTGTGACTGCCCAGGTAACAAGCCCATGAAGCTTGTTGTAGATAAACTTTTTAATGCTCAGAGTAATATTTTGAGGTATTACTATCCCCTTTTTACAGATGGGAATGCCGAGGTTCTTACAGAAGGATAAGTGCGATCAGTCTAAGGTCACAGGGTTAAGACGCAGCACAGCTGACTTTGGGATGCAGGTATTCTTGTTTCCAATATAGGCACTTAACTGGAACCCACACTTTCTCTCTAGGGATAGAATGCTGACCCCACACCTGCAGCCAGGTGTAGTAAAATGCCTTCGTTAGGTGGCTGGACTCTTCCTCTGACGTTTTTCCTGTGGCGTTGCTAGGTCGCCTGTATTCTTTGCCCCTAACATCACAACCTCCATTATGAAAACAAATCCCTAAAGCCAAGAATATGCTGACCCTCACCCTAGTGACTTATTGACTATATTCTTTCATAATTTGAGCATACCCTCTGGGGAGTTTTCTCTCACCACTCGCACACACAAACCAAGAGGCTTAATAAGGTTTTAAGCCAACAAAAATCAATCTCTTCTGTCCCAGAAGTGTTTACTGTTATGAGAATCAAATTTTCTCTATATCATTATAGTAACAAAATTAGATTTCCTTTAAAATATTTCACCTATTTTTGCCCATTTATTTGCTTTTATGGTTCTTTTTTTCATTAATCTAAATGTGTGAGATTTTATTCTAGATTGCTCCAGATTCTAAGCAATTGTGATAAGCAAGAGTTTATTGTAATCCGTTTTGATTCCCTTGGTGTTTGAATACACTCAACATGCAACAAGAGGGTCACCATGCAGAAATGTCTTTACCTGTTTTGTGAAAATGTACATCCTTTCCAATGAGTTTTGCCAAGAAGTTAATCTTAACATCAAGAAATATGGCTGGGCAATCGAAACAATGTGGCATGTTGTCCTTTGGGAGGGCGCCTCAGCAGCACTCTCCTCAAATACTTGAAGCTAAGCCAGACTATTACTAGAGCAAATAATCGACTAGTTTTGCAGCATTCATATCAGAAAACTTTTATGTTACATGTATCTCCTTTTTTTTTCATGTATCTCCTTTTTAATGAAGTTGGAATTTTGGGTAAGTCACTCATTAGAATAGTGACATTATTTGAGGCTCCATTTCCATGACTAATTGTAGGATGATAAGAGTGTATTTCATATGTTCAAGTCCTTTTTTCCAGTTCCTCCAGTTCACATGCTAAACAGTATCTATAAATTGTCTTGAAAGTTGAGGGAATGAAACCAGGAGCAAGGATGGAAGGAGAAAGGAAATCTTCTTGGGAAAGTTTAAAATAAATTAAGTAGATCTGATTAGTAAAAGAAGACAGCTACATTGCAAGAAGATGTTCAATGTTTTGTATAAATTATTTCATGTTGATTAAACAGTACACTGTAATTTCTTTTATAAATTGAATGGGCTACAGTGAAAAATGGTATTTGGTCCACCCTGAACAATAACTTCTCTCTGAAGACCTTTACTACTAACTGAGAATTTTAAATGAGGAAGGAATAACAATGCATGGTGTTGCTTAGCAAATATTATATGTTAGTAATAGAGACTCCAAATGTGTAAGTTTTGGGGCCACTTTCAAAGTGCAGATAAACTGATTACCTGGGGCCAAATTTAACAAATTTCCAAAAGTGGAACCTGTGCTGGTATCATTTTATTGATATATTTGTGCCAAGGAGAGAGATTTTTACAGTTATGAGGACTTGTGACTTGGGTTGTGGTTCTTGAATCAGTGCCCGCTGGGTGGCTAGAAATGGCTTTAACTGGGGAGCAAGATGATGGTGAAGGGAGGTCAGGGACTGGATGGGTTCCCGGCTTCATATGGTTGGTGGGGCCTTCACAGTTGTCTGTTGTTTTCTGTGGATGTAGGTTTCCTCCTAAAAGCAAAGGTGGGTGAAGGTTCTTGTTACTGTCCTCCAACCTCATTATCAAGTGTTGACAATGAAAGCAAGACTCAGAATGAATTCAGCCAGCGAACAAGCTTTGTTTAGCAAGGAGTACAAAACCTGTCCTTGGAAGCTCAGGGAAGGCTCAGCTGTCTGTCATTGCAGTCTCTGAAGGCCAAGACCACCTATCAGAATCTTTAGCAATTTTGTGGAATCCAAGACCTAATGGGGTCGTAAGCATGGTATCCAGACTCCTGTACTCTGCTCATGCTTGGGGAGCGGTGCCCAGGACATATTTCTCACCAATTCACAGAACTTGAAACTGTTCACTACGCCAACAAAAAATTATTTCTAGCACCATCTGTGCTCATTACTAAACCCTCTGATACAGTCAGCCTGTGACGGTTGAAGGCTCTGCACTGCGGGCCTCTGAAAAGGGTCTCTCAGATATGAAGGGACTGTCCCAGGGAGCACATTCCCGACCGGGGCATTTACAATGTGAGAGACCCACTCCCTGGTTGTAGATTAAGCCTGCTTCATGCACACGTGTGTATTTTACCTAATCTTAGGTCCCATCACCTGTGAGACGCACCATGTTTTATGTATCCCCAAGAAAGAAGTCCTTCCAGTAGAACTCACAGTGCTCATCACTTTAAATTATTGTTTTTTACTTATCGAAAGAGTCTTTTTAGATTAGACTTAGATTTTCACTATATGTTGAGCATGTTCATAGACTAAGAAGAAAAAAATATAGGTGAAGAATTGCTTCCAGTTTTCCTAACAAACAAAAATCCTTCGTATTCAAAACTTGACTTTTTTCAATCACTATCTTGACTTAAAAAGTCTTATTTTCCCCTTAACTCAGTGCAGTTCTTTGTGTCATTAAGGACAGCGATGCTGTACCTTTTCTTAGAGTAACTAAAAGCCATTGGTGCTGGCTCTTACTCAGCTCTGTCATAATGCAGACCCCACAGGGGTGAATCCAGGTCGTTAGGGCCCTAAAGTTTAAAAATGGGGAAGGATGCTTTAAAAAAAGAACATAAAATTGCAAACACAAAATTAGGCATAATCATGATTATTTGGAATAAGAAAAAGCCCTCTTATGTGTTGGGATATGTAAAACTCCACCCACAGATAGGTTTGTAGTACTTGTATTTTAAAGCGCTGGTACATGTTTGTCCTCTTAAAACAGAGGAATTCTAATAAGGTGTGTGATTTTCATAAAAAGGTATGGTTTGTTTCTAGTTGGTAACTAGAATTTCATTTTATTTTTGAGTTTCTCCAGAGACGAGCACTTCCATTTGCTTTTGGACTGATGACAACAATTTTGCATCTTTGTTGGCTGGAGGAAATTTGTATAGACTAGCTCTTGGCTCTGTACATCTCCAGCCTTGCTTTTCCTCCAGCACTCCTCTGTTTGAGATGTTGGAGCTGTATGAGTCTGCATCAGCTGCCATAACAAAACCCCACAGACAGGGCCACTGAAACAGGAGATTTATTCCTCACATTCATTGAGTTTGAATGGGCAAGGTCAAAGTGTCACCAGGGTTGGTTTCTCCTGAAGCCTCTGTTCTTGGATTGTAGATGACTATCTTCTTGCTGATCCTCACACAGCCTTTTCTCTGTGCATATTTATTGTTGGCACCTCTTCCTTTTTCTGTAATGGACACTAGTCCTTCTAGATTATGGTCCCACTCTTATGACCTCATTTAACCTTCACTACCTCCTTAAAGGCTCTGTCTCTAAGTATAGTTGCATTGGGGGCTATGGCTTCAGCTTGGGAATTTGCATGGGACACATTCAGTTCATTACAGGGGCCACAGATATGTTTGGGTTGGAGTATGACCTCCAGCCCTTCACCTTAATGCCACTTGGGATAAGGTGATGCAGTGCATGCTGGGGAATGCCTAGAAAACATCATTCCCATAATGAGATGGCTAGGGATGACTTTGTTAAACTTCTAAGCAACTTTGAGCTATGAAAACATCATCAAACCTTAACTACCAACAAAATGCCCTGTTTCTCCTGATTAACTTCCCCCTAAAAAGGGCTCTGAGAAGCCACAGCCACCTCACCACTACAAGACATGAAGAGAAAGAAGGTGGGGACACCTCAGAGGACAAGGACATGCTCGTCTTCACCAGGATTGGTTAAGTATTTTACCTTTGCAAGTTTTACTTATCCAAGTACATTTCTGGGATGTTGGGAACCTTACACCTGGCTTCTAGCTAAAAACATTGCATTGATTACAGGAACCTGTGCGCTCCACAGAGCCAATCGGCTACAGGTGCATGAGGTGTGCACGCGCTCCCCAAGCCAATCGGCTACAGGCACATGAGGTGTGCACGCGCTCCCCAAGCCAATCAGCTACAGGCACATGAGGTGTCCACGAGTACCAGTTGCACCCAAGTAATCAATAAGCGGGCCCTTCTTTGTCTCAAGCTAGCCAATAGCAAGCAACCTAATCTCCTTCCTCTCCCTCCCCCCTATATATATACCCAGTTCGGAAAAATAAAGTTTGCAGCTTGATCAGAATCTTTTGTCTTGCTGCCATTCTTCGCGCCTCTTGTCCCCCCAACTCATTTGTTCTAGGTAGGTGGTTGAGCCCCGGTTGATTGCTCCGCGGGCCGGAGCACTGGGAGGCATCTCAGGGCCTTGGTATGTCCCTTCCAAGTGAGGGGTCCCAAAGCTTAAGTTTTATTAGTTTCATGGTAAGTCCATCCCAAGTAAGAACTAACTTCTGATGCCAACTATGGGAAAATTCTGAAACACACCCGATTCACCACACTCCAACTCCTCCCTTTGGCTTCCAGAGATTAAAAAGTATTCTACTTCACC